TGTTAGATCTTATTGATGGATAGATCTCTTAATTATGATATAATGCCTTTCATCTCATTGTTACAGCCTTGTTTGTCTGACGTAAGTATGGATACTCTGGCTTTCTTCTGACATACATTCACATCCCCTCACTTTCAATCTGCAGGTGTCTTTAGGTCTAAAATGAGTCTCTTGTAGGCAGCATATAGATGGGTCTTTTTTTTTTTTTTATCCATTCTGATACCCTATGTCTTTTGATTGGAGCATTTAGTCCGTTTACATTCAGAGTAATTACTGAAAGCTATGAATTTAGTGCAATTATATTACCTGTAAAGTTGCTGTTCCTATAGACTGTCTCTGTTCCTTCCTAGTCTTTGTTACTTTGGGTCTCTCCTTCCCGCTCAAGGGTCCCCTTTAATATTCCTTGCAGGGCTGGTTTAGTGGTCACGAATTCCTTTAGTTTTGTTTTTCTGGGAAACTCTTTATCTCTTCTTCCATTCTGAATGACAGCCTTGCTGGATAAAGTATTCTCAGCTGCATAATTTTCCCATTCAGCACATTGAATATATCCTGCCATTCTCTTCTGGCCTGCCAAGTTTCTGTGGACAAATCTGCTGTGAACCTGATTCCCTTGTAGGTTAAGGACTTTTTCCCTTGCTGCTTTCAGGATTCTTTGTGTATTTTGTGAATTTGACTATGTATGTCTAGGTGATGCCTGGCCTTTGTTGAATTTAATGGGAGTTCTCTGGGCTTCTTGGATTTCAATAACTGTGTCCTTCCCTAGATCAGGAAAGTTTTCAGTTAATTTGCTCAAGTAAACTTTCTGCTCCTTTTTCTTTCTCATCACTTTGTGGGACTCCTATGATAAGAATGTTACTATGTTTTAAGAAGCTGCTGAGTTCCCTAAGTCTACCTTCATGATCCAATACCTTTCCCTCTTCTTTTCAGCTTCATTTTTTTCCCTAATTCTATCTTCTATATCACTGATTCATTTCTCTGCTTTGTTCATCCTCATTGTTATGGCATCCATTAGGGTTTGCATCTCAGTTATAGCATTTTAATTTCGGTCTCACTAGATTCCAGTTATTTTAACTCTACAGTAAGGGATTCTCTAGTGTCTTCTATGTTTTTTTCAAACCCAGGTAGTATTCTTATAATCATTGTTTTAAATTCTAGTGTAGAGGTACCTGGGTGGCTCAGTTGGTTGGGCGTCTACCTTCGGCTCAGGTCATAATCCCGGAGTCCCTGGATGGAGCCCCATGTCCAGCTCCCTGCTCAGTGGGGAGTTTGTTCTCCCTCTGCCCCCCTCCCCCGCTAATGTACTCTCTCTCTTTCTCAAATAAAAACATCTTTTAAAAATAAATAAAAGTTGGGGCGCCTGGGTGGCTCAGTCGTTAAGCGTCTGCCTTCGGCTCAGGTCATGATCCCAGGGTCCTGAGATCGAGCCCCGCATCGGGCTCCCTGCTCCGCGGGAAGCCTGCTTCTCCCTCTCCCACTCCCCCTGCTTGTGTTCCCTCTCTTGCTGTGTCTCTCTCTGTCAAATAAATAAAATCTTAAAAATAAATAAAAATTAAAAAATAAATAAAAGTAAATAAATAAATTCTAGTTCAGACATCTTACTTATATTTGTATTGGTTAAATCCCTGGCTGTTACTTCTACTTCCTGTTCTTTCTTTTGGGATGAATTCCGTCTTGTCATTTTGTCGAGAAAAAAACAAAAACAAAACAAAACAACAACAACAAAAAATTAGATCCTAGGTGTGTTTGGGTCTGCTTGTCAAAAGAAGCTAGATCCTATTTCCCCTAGAGCTAAAGCTCTGCAGCACTTTATGATCAGTAGACTTGGTACATGCAAGGGGTTTGTGCTGGTCTGGGGGAAGGGCCTGCTGCACTGATTCTCAGGCCTATTTGCCTAGTGGAGACAGGGGGTGTAAGTGGCTCCGATCTCTACTTGATGGTACTGTTTAGCTCACTGAGGTCAGTCAGTGCTGACGGGGTGGGGGTGAGGGGGAAGAATGGGGATATAGCTCTGCTCTGCTCTCTCATCCCTGCAGTGGAAAGCTTGTGCCACCACTATTCAGGAAGCTCTCACAAAAGAGCAAACAATCACCCCTCTTGTGCCCCAGCTTCCATCAAATCCCTGCCTTCACCCTGTCTGTGTCCAAGCTGTTTCATCTCAGGGTGCAGCTGGGTTTCTAAACTCCAAATTTTAGGGACTCCCGCAGCACCACCCCGTGCTGATCCTCCGGGGGAGGATGTCTCCCCACTTTTGCTGCTTGCAGCCAGTCCCAGGAAAGTGGTCACAGGACTGTGAAGCGGTTCAGAGTTTATGGCAAAGCAGAACCAAAAGCAGGCACTAAGACTCCCTGCCCTCAGCTGGTGTCCCTGCTCCTATGCCTGGGAACAGTGCAACACATTGGTGCCACCCTTTCTTCTGTCCGTGGAGAGGTCTTGCTGCCACTCCTAAATGCACTCCAAACAGGGGAACTGGTTCCCCCTGCGACCCAGGGGATCCTCAGACTATACTGTCCACTCCCAGGCATCCACCCTTCCTCCCCACAGGAGCACCACTAAGCCAGGCATGACCCTGCCAGTAGGAGACTTCTAAAACTTCAGATTTTGTGTTGCGCTGCTTATAATACCTTGCGGTAGTCTCCGTAAGTAGGGCTCCCTCCCTTCTGCAGCCCCAGCAGTTCTTATCTCCCCCAAATCAACTCTCCACAGCTCCAACCTTCCACAATTCTACTTGTAGACTTGCAGTTTTGTTCTCTCAGTGCTCAGATTGATTTCTTGGGTGTTCAGAATGATTTGATATTTATCTAGCTGTGTTCGAGGAATGAGGCAAGCTTAGGTCCCCTTACTCCTCCGCCATCTTAACTCCTCCCTTAAAATGTCATTTTTAAAGAAAAATGGTTGTCTAGTTAATAATCTAGTTGCTTGAGATAAATTTCAAGTTTCTAAACACTAATTTATCTCATTGAGTTGATCTGAATGTTAGGTCCTTTGAAGAAAAGAAAAAGAAAGATGTATGTCTACAGTGGTGAGTTTAAAAAGAGAATTTAGGAAAGAGGATGTGCAGTAATAATTTGATCCATTTTTCTACACAATTTACTCGAGGTATGAAATAATGACACGAAAAGAACATTCTGAAAAAGAAAAAAAAAAAAGCTCCATTTCTCAATCATCGTTCTCAATGGCTTATTAACTTCCTAACTTCCTTGTTCTCATCAACTTCCTAAAGCCACTCTAACAAATTGAGAACTTTTTTTAAGGGCAAGAAATCCAAGAGCTTCCCTTGGATATGCTTTCTTCCAAGGTTTAGAAATTCTCTTTATCTCTAACTTTCATGATGCAGCACAAATCAACTTCCTTACTTAGTCTTCAGTGAATATGGAAAGTAGGCCAATAACTTTCAGATCTGTGGTTGTACCCCAGACTTCATTTTTTTTTTCTGCGAAGAAAACAATATCCTAGATTCTAAATTGTTTAGTAGTTTGTTTGCTTTAACTTTTCTAGCCTTTTAATATTCCTTGCAGCTATTCTTTCTACAACTTTCTGGTAACTCTTAGGATGTGAGCCCCCAAAACCAACAGTACCAAATGAACGAAATCATCTCTCCAGTCCCTCCCGTGTAATAGGTGTATCCCCTAAATTTAAAAATCACCGATTCTAATATGTTACCTTAATAAGAGAAGGGTACGGCGTTGCTTCTTTTTCTAATGATAAAATCTCAAAATTCGTAGGAATAAATTCATTCTTCGTTGGAAGTTTAAATTTACCATTCAGGTCAGCATTTTGCCATTTCTGGACGAATAATGAAAAACACAAAAGCAATTAAAGTTGGATTCAAAAGTTTAAAATAGTCCTTTTGCTTAATATCTAGGCAAATATTAAGGGGATAAATGTCACACAGCTTTTCTTTTCCCCCAAGATCCACTGATGGCTTTTTGTGAAACTTGAGTTGGTCTCTCTGTTACTAATGAACATTTTGTACTTATTCATCTTTCCTCTTTACATATTTCCAAAATGACCAGCTGAGGTTAAGGGGCAATCTGCAACTACAGAAACCTGAGAGACTACTTGGTCCATATGAAGATCACATTGGCTCTAGCTCCTTAAAGAGGGAAGAATAATCTGTACAGGGATATATTCCTGCAACTGGTTGCTTACAGAAGAATTAAACTTTCAGCTGCACTAAATTACTTCCATGTATGGCCTGAAAGCTAGACTAGAGGAGCTTCCTTCACTTCAGTACTGCTCCTTAAGGCCTGGTCCACAACTGTCCCAGATGACCACGTGAACTTCCAAGTGAACCAGTAATTCAAGGTCAAGAACAAAGAGAAGTCTTAAGCCTGCATTGTGCAACAGGGTTGATACAACCTGCAGATTGGATGTGCTCGATGGGCTAGTTCCAAAAGCTAAGTGGGACAGATCACAGGTCAGTGACTGTTGGACTCTTATAAGACTTCATTATCAAAAAAAAAAAAAAAAAAAGCAGCCATGTGCCAATAATCCAGGTTCAGTAATTTGGTCTCCAGATGATCTAGCACAGCCTTGCAACTTCTGCAGTTCTATTTTGGTCCCTGAGTTTATACTTTTTGGCACTGGATGGTGGGGATGTTGGCCGTATTATTTATGAGTAGCAGCTTAGGTCTCCTGAATGGCTAAACAGTAGGGACTAGGAAATACGTAGTAAATAATTTCACTGCTAAACTCCCAGATAAATTTGGGTTGTTTTGTTTTTAATTAAGTCAGCTCTACCCCCAGTATGGGGCTTGAACTCACAACCCTGAGATCAGGAGTCTTATGCTCTACCAACTGAGCCAGCCAGGCATGCCCCAGATATATTTGTTTTTTAAAAAAAATCCCATTCAGTTAGCCAAACTGTGGAAAGAGCCAAGATGTCCATCAACAGATGACTGGATAAAGAAGATGTGGTATATATATACAATGGAATATTATGCAGCCATCAACAGGAATGAGATCTTGCCATTTGCAACGAC